TCGTCCTTGATAGAAGAAAAAGAAAAAAGAGATTAGGAATCAGAAGACGACTCCTGTCAGCCCCTAAATTTCATTGTGGGTACCCAGGCGATTCAATCTTTCTATACTTCGTGTGTAAATTAGCAGACATCGACTAGAAAATTTGTAAGCTTCCTTCCAACTCTAGTAGTCTACCTTCTAATAACACTAAAATATGTTGATTTATGCAAAGATGATTCTTAAAATCTTATCTTTACCGCACACCATTTATATGCATCCGAAAAAGAAAAATAATACCAGAACTGGAGGAAGGTACAATAACTGTTTAGGTAAGTCTTACCCAATGATATTCCAAAGGAAATACAATCATAATTCTCCTCAGGAACCTTCTGGTTATGATTTATAACACACTAGTCGTTATTCTATTGTTTATAGTAGATGGTATAAATTTCCTCCAACAAAGAGAAAGAAAGCATTGCTTCTGCAAGATAAGTGTTATAATTTGTTAATATGCCAACTTACCCCAAGGTATAGCTAGTGATAATAAGGTTTTTAAATAATACTCAGTCTGGGACCTGAGGACTCAACCCAAAAGGTAATCAAAAAGCCTGGTTTCTAAAGCTCTTCTCCCAGATGCAACATAGAAAACAAATCTGAACTCTTGCCCAAACTTGTGTTGATGGTTCAAAGGAAAGAAAGTCAACAAGTAGAGTTCAAGGATACAACAGATTACTAGTAGTACATCTAATGATAAGGTGGTGATGTATTGATATTCACAAAGCTATAGTGAACTTGTAATATCAGGGGATAGGTACAAAACATAGGCTGGAGTCGGCTGTGCATACATATATTTTATATAAAATATGCATGCTTATGTGTGTAATTAGTAGGAAAATGTACAAATATTTATAGAATATTTATGTAAGTACTAAAATGTAATAAAAACTTAATGTAAAAGCAATCTATAAATTCACTGCACTCCCTATTAAAATACCAACGGCATATTTCACAGATCTAGAAAGAACTCTCCAAAAATTCATCTGGAATAAAAAAAGACCCCGAATAGCTGCAGCGATCCTGAGAAAGAACAAAGGTGGGATCTCAATACCAGATATCAAGCTATACGACAAAGCCACTGTTCTCAAAACTGCCTGGTACTGGCACAAGAACAGACATATATACCAATGGAATAGAATAGAGAACCCAGAAATCGACCCAAACCACTATGCTCAATTAATATTTGACAAAGGAAGCAAGAACATACAATGGAGTCAAGACAGTCTCTTCAATAA